CTTTATGTACTCTAAAATAAATAGAAATGCATAATTCAAGAATAACTTAAGTAAAAAAAAAAAAGAATAACCAAAGTATTGGATTTTTTCAAACTCTAAAAAAAAGACAGCAATTTGTTAAGTTTTGATATGTGTATTTATATATACATGTGTATTTATAAAATACATTTAAAAATAAAAATAATAATAAAATACATATCTGATAGAGGATTAAACACGATCAGCTCTTCATGTATGTAGGTTCTGCATTCAGTACACTTGCAGATTGAAAGTATTTGGGGAAAATTGCTTCTACCCCAAACACATCCAAATTTTTTTGCTTGTCATTATTCCTTGGACAAATCAGTTACATAACATCTTACTATACTAGGTATTATAAATAACCTAGAGATGATTTAAAGTATACAAGTTGGGGCATATAGATTATATGCAACTATTTTACCATTTATAAAAAAGAACTTGAACACCCATGGATTTTGGTTCTCCTTGGAAGATCCTGGAACCAATCCCTCGTGGATACAGAGGGACTACTGGACGTAACTGTTTTAGTGAGCTTTTTCACTGCTGTGACTAAAAGACCCATCCAGAATAATGTTAGAGAAGGAAAAGTTTATTTAGGAGTTCATGGTTTCAGAGATTTCATTCCATAGAGAGCAGGCTCCATTCCCTGAGACTCAAGGTGAGGCAGAACATCATGGTGGAGGAATGTGGCAGAGGAAAGCAGCTCACACGATGATCAGAAAGGAGAGAGGGGGGAGAGAGAGAGAGAGAGAGAGAGAGAGAGAGAGAGAGAGAGAGAGAGAGAGAGATATCTGCACTTGTCAAGTATGAATATACCCCAAAGCCATGCCCCCAATGACCCACCTCCTCCAGACACATCCCACCTGCCTCCAGTTACCACTCAGTTAATACCATCAGGAGATTAATGCACTGATTGTGTTAATCACAACCCAATCATTTCCTCTCTGAACCCTCTTGCATTGTCTTACAGTGAGCTTTTGGGAGGTACCTCACATCCAAACCATAACACTAACCAACTAAATAAATCCATGAAACTCATGGATTCATATATCATACTCGTGAAATTAAGACAGTGAACATATCCACATATATCCCCAAATTTTCTTTTGCCCTGCTTTTTTCTCCTTTTCATCCCCCTCTCCCTCCCCTATTTTCTTTATATCATTATACATCAGTTTCCATTTTTTAGAATTTTAAATATGTATATAGAATCATATAACATGTGCTTGTTTTTCTTTTTTTTTCTGGCTTTTTTTACTCTCACGCTTATTTTGAGATTTATCCATTTTGTTGCTGAGCTCATTCCCTGCAATGCAGAGTAGCTTTCCATCATATGGATATTGTTGGGAGTCTCCCTGAGAACTCCCCAGGCCTTTCAGACATGGTGGCAGGCAAGTTGCCAGTGGGCGGATAACAAGTTGTTTTGAAAATTTTCTAATTGGTCCTCCCATCTTCGTGAATAGTTCGTGATCCCCATGAATCTAATGCAAGGCGTATGTGCGTGCACCGTAGGTGATGACCTGACCTTTACTATGATAGGCCCCGGGAGCTTCCTGGTTTAAGATAATTGACTTTCACTTTCTATATAAGCTAGCACCAGCTTGCAATAAGGTGCTTCATCTTTGTCACTGCTATCTGTGTGTGTGCATTTTAATCTCCGACCACGAACCTTGGCCTTTCAGATATGCCACACAATCACTTTATCCATTCACCTCTTGGTGAATGTCTGGACTGTTGTTTTGGACTGTTATAAATCAAAGTGCTATGAACATTCATGTACAAGTCTTTGTATGTACACATGCTTTTATTATTTTGGCTACATTTATGAATGGGATGGCTGGATCATATAGTGAGAGCTTGACTTTTTATAAAGCTGCCAAAGATTTTCTAAAGAGGTTGTTCCCTTTAAAATCCCCATCAGCCATGTATTAGAATTCCAATTGCTCCACATCTTTGCCAAGAATTGGTCTGGTCAAGTTCTTTTAATGTTGGCCGTTTTAATAAGTGGTAGTGGTATTTTATTGTGGCTTTCAGTTGCATTTCCCTTGTGACCAATGTCGGTGAACATCTTTTGATGTAGTTAATTGGCATCAATGTATCTTATTTAATAAAGTGCCTGTTCAAAAGTTTTGCCCCTTAAAAAAAAAATTGAGTTTGTTTTCTTAATGAGTTTTTAAGAGTTCTTTATATATTCTGGGTCAAAATTCTCTCTCAGATAAGTGTTTTATAAATACGTTGTCTGTGCTTTGCTTTTCATTCTCTTTAACGAATGTCATTCAAAGTGCAGAGATTTTGGATTTTGTTAAAGTTCAATATATCAGGATTTTATGGATTTGCTATTGCTATGGGGCTAAGATATCATTGCCTAAGCTATGGCCACAAAAGTATTTTCTCATTGAAGTTTCCTGTGTTGGTCTTTATATTTAGGTCCATGGTACATTCTGAGTTGATTTTTGTGTATAATATAAGGTATAGTTTGAAGTTCTTTTTGAAAATGGGCATCCATTTTTTCTGGTACTATTTGTTGAAAAAAAAAAAAACCTACCATTTATTCCCTGATTTACTTTTGTGTCTTTGCCTCAAATTATTATAATATATTTATGGATTCTCTGTTTTCTATTCTGTTCTGTATACTTTCTTCCAGTGCTGGGGATTGAACCCAGAGCCTTACACATACTAAACAAGTAGTATACCACTGAGCTACACCTCAGCCTGCACAGAGCTATTTGTGACTCTTAATGCCAATGCTACACTGTCTTTATTACAGTAGCTTTATAATAAACCTTGAAATCAGGTGTGTTCATCTTCCAATTTTGTTCTTTTTCAAAGTGTTTAGCTATTCTCTGCACTTGGCCTTTCTGTGTAAGTCAACTTGTCAATTTCTACAACAACAACAAAAGCCTGTTGGGCTTTTGACTGGGAGTGAGATAAATATATTGAATTTAGGAAGAAATAGCTTCTTAATATTGAGTCTTCCAACCAATATGTATGGCATATCCCCCCCCCCACTTTTTTTTTTTTAGATCTTTAACTTTTCTCATCAATGACTGGCAGCTTTCAGTTTAAAAGTACTATAACATTTCATATTTTAAATGCTACTGTAAGTGGTATTTCTATTTTAACTTTTTATCGTGGGCATAGGAAAAATGCAATTGATTTTTATGATTAGAGCTGGTGTCCTACCACCTTGTCAATTTCACTTACAGTTCTAGTAACTTTGGTGAACTTCATCAATTTTTTTTACATGAATAATCATGCTACTGGGACTAACTATGATTTACCTTTTCCTTTCCAATATGAATTTCTTCTATTTCTTTTTTTGTCTCCTTGAACTGGCTAGAATCTTCATCACAATGCTGAATAGAAGTGGTAAGAGCAGACCTTCTTGTCTTTTCATGGATGGTAGGGAAGAACGTTGGTTTTTCACCATTAGGGACAATGTTAGCTGGTGGTGTTTTTGATTTGTTTGGAAGATGCCCTTGTTCAGGTTGGGATAGAAAGGTCCTTCCTATTCCTAGTTATTTGAGAGTTTTTGTCAGGAGTGAATTTTGTTAAATACTTTTCTTGCATCTATAAAGATGATCATAAGGTTTTTCCTTCTAAATTTGTTAGCATGGTGAATTGTATTATTGGTTTTCAAATGTTAAGCCATCCTTGCATTCCTGGGATAAACCCTGCTTGGTCAGGATATACTACCCTGTCTTTATATATGAAGTTGGATTCAATCTGCTAAAATTTTCTACAGATCGTTTGCATTTATGTTCACAAGGGAAGTTGGACTGTATTTTTCTTTCCTTGTACTATCTTTTTACAGCTTTTGGTGTCAGGATAATATTGGCCTTTGTATACTCTTAGAAAGTAGTTCCTACACATCAGTTTTTTGGAAGAGCTTGGGTAGAATTGGTGTAAGTTCTTCTTTAAATATTTGGTAGAATTTTTCAATTTAGCTTTTGGACCTAAAGTTTTCTTATAGGAATATTTTTAACTATTAGTTTAATTTCATTAATAGGGTCATTTGTCTCTGTTTCTTCTTGAGAGAACTTTGATCTCTGGTGTGTTTTTCAAGGAGTTTCCCATCTTAGCCAAATTACCAATTTTATTGGCATAAAGTTTTTTTATAATATTCCTTTGTTAGTCTTCGGTTCTATTTTGGATGAACACAGGCTAGGGTATCACCAAGGCCTGGCAAGTGCAGTTCAGCATGAAGCTCCTTGAGGATAGGTTGTACTTTCCCCTACTTGAACTGCAGAGCTCATGATCCTGGCAGATGTCTGCAGTACTGGGTAAGAGCTCAGCAAGAACCTGTTGATTGTGAGTGATGTTGGAGAGAATGCATGTGAACGAGGGAAGTTCTGCACCCTTGGTGGTGCTGAGAAGTTAGGACAGTGTGAGATTAAGATGGAATACTGTACAAGTTATATGAGTTTCAATTGAAATCTCAGCTTTTGCATTAACTTGCTGTGTGATGTTGGTCAAGTCACTCAACCTCTCTGATCCTCAATGTTCTCATTGGTAAAATGGATTTATTCTGGATTCTAAAAGGGAGTGAATAATATCCATCTCAAAGGGATGTGAAAATTCCATGAAAAAAAAAAAGTATATATTGAGGCTATGACAAAGTGTCTGCCTCTAAGAAAACAATAAAGGGCTGGCTTATCAGGATCTGTTTTAGTTGTTGTGTGGCTGTTTAAATAAGGAGAAATTGCTTTTAGGCTTCCTTACCCGTCTCCTTCCAATATGGAAATTCCTGTTTCTCTACTCTTGCCTCCTCCCCTCCTGCGGACCAGCTGATCTCTTAGCTGTCGATCCTGGCACACTTCTTCTGCGTCCTGAGCTTCTATTAATTAAGAGGCGGTTGCTAAGAGATGTCAGGACACACCGGCGACTGGCTCTGCACCTTCCTCTCATCCCCTCTGGTTCTTTTCCAGCCCCACTCTGTCCTCGTCACACCTGTTTCTCTCACCCATCTTCATACTTAGGTTCGGAAAAGACAGAGAAGTTGGCCGATCCGTATGGCTACCCCTGGTGAGAGAGTGGTCCGCAGACCCCAGGGACTTGGTGGGGAGCCGGATGGGAGCGGCGCCTGCCTGAGTCCGCAGCACCACCTGGAGCGCAGGGAGACCCTGGAGCAGGCGCCAGGCCAGCTGGCCATGCTGAGGAAGTCGCAGGAATTTTTCCAGACCTGTGATGCCGAAGGCAAGGGCTTCATCGCCAGAAGGGACTTGCAGGTAAGAAGGGTCCCAGCTGGGCCAGCCCACCTGGAACACCCAGGCACCTGGAAATTCTTGTCCTGAGCTAGAACTGCCCCACAGGAGGTGACATCCTTAACAGAAAAGACCTCAGTTCAGTTCTGGAAGGTCAGCCCAAACTCTACTGGGACCCGGACCTCCTGCATTCATTCTATTTCTGTCCTTTACCTGAGGTCAGACTGGGGGTCGTTTTTCTTCTCTGATTGAGTAACTCCCCAGGATTGTGAGAAATGATGATAGTAACATAAGAGACTTAAGTAAGACACAGAGAAGAACCTTCTGAGAGTAGAGATAGAAAGGCACAGATCTGTTGCTTTCAACGAAGTCAT